GACAATTTCTTCGATGTATGCGACCGTTGTTCCTTTGTTCACATGTTTGTACTCACTGCTGAAATTCGTGAGCATAACCGTTGCTTTGCCTCCCCGCAGCTCTGCAATTCCTCTTGCGACGCAAATATTTCGGGTGACCAACAAATGCTGACTGCCTTCAACGACGCCTTCCAAGTCAGGTGATTTAGGAGCGCCGACTGAAATAATGACGCTTGAGCGAGGCGGAACGGTGACTTGTTCTTCCAGCACATTCAAGGCACGGTGTCCTGACGGCGTGCGCGGCGGTAGTGCTTCTTCTGTGGATAACGTTATCGACTTTGTTTTTAGGTTGATGACAGCACCATGGAGGCATAAGAAGTCCATGCCAAGGATGACATCTCTCGAGCAACTCTGTAGGACTACGAAGTCTGTAGGATAAATACGGCCGTTAATGGTGACTCTCGCTGTGCAGATTCCTGCAGGCGTTACGAGATGACCTCCGGCTGTGCGGATTTCAGGGCCTTTCCAAGCTGTCCTAACTTTCTTTAACTTCGCGGCGAACGACCCACTGATGACAGAATAGTCGGCTCAAGTATCGACGAGAGCAGTCACACTGTGGCCGTCGATAAGAACGTCGAGGTCGCTAGTTCGCCGTCTCGCATTACAGTTAGGGCATGGCGTCGGGTCACGGCTGCGTCGGCTTGTTCCGCTGCTTCCATGTTGCGTCGTCCGGCCACCTTCAGTAAGTGAGCTTTTGGCTTCAGGGCTTTGCCTGGTTAGTGTTGTGTTCAAAAAGCTCCGTCGCGTCAGCGTCGTCGTCGGAGGATCTTCGGTAGTTCGTCGCACAGCAACCGCACCTCCATCGGTTGCTGCCCTTAGTTTCCCGGATACGGGCTAGGAGACCGGCCCCGCGTTGGGCCAGAGTACTGCCGGGGGTGCGGTGACATGCGGCGGCTGGGCGAAGGCGAACGGGAAGGACTTCGTGGTGTCCATTGGGTTCCTGCCAGGTAGTCGGCGATGTCACGTGGCCGATCTCCTGGCTGCGGACGCGGTGCATTGACGGCGAAGCCACGCAGTCCCATCTGTCGGTACTGCCAACGGCGGTATGTGTGCCCGGCCTCGCCGCAGTGGTAGCAGAGCGGGCGGTTGTCAGGTGCACGCCAAACGTCCGTTTTCCTCGGTGCACTGCGCTGGCCCGCTCGGGAACGGTAGGACGTCGGTTGGGGTGGTGGCGGCGGTGGCGTCTGGCGACGGAAGTGTGACGGGGCGGCGTTTTTGCGTGGACGGGGAGGAGCGTTGTGGCGCACTGCAGCAGCGTAGCTCATAGTTTCTGGCTCGGGTGGCGGTGTTTCGGGAATTCGAAGCGTTTTCCGGACTTCTTCTCGCACAATGTTGGCGATCGAATCCACTTGAGGCTGCGCCGAAGGCAACAGTTTGCGCCGCTCTTCCCGCACGATCGCTCGGATCGTTTCACGCAGGTCGTCGGAGTCACTGGCTTGAGCAGCAGCGCATTCTGGAGTCAGGCGATGATTATACTGTCTGGTGCGCATGTCCAGCGTTTTTTCGATGGTGGTCGCCTCGGATACAAATTCTTGGACGGTGTTCGGTGGATTCCTCATTAGCCCCGCGAAGAGCTCCTGTTTGACCCCTCGCATGAGGAAACGAACTTTCTTTTCCTCAGGCATGTCTGGGTCAGCGTGACGGAATAGGCGGGTCATCTCCTCTGTGAAAATTCCAACCTTTTCATTTGGTAGCTGAACCCGGGTCTCGAGTAGAGCAGCGGCCCTCTCTTTGCGAGCGACGCTTGCGAACGTTTGCAGAAATGTGCCGCAGAAGACATCCCACGTTCGGAGCGTGGACTCCCGATTCTCTAGCCAGGTCCTTGCGATGTCTTCCAGGTAGAAGTACACACGACGGAGCTTTTCTTCGTTGTCCCAGTGGTTGAGGGCGGCCACACGTTCGTATGTTTCTAGCCAGGTTTCCGGGTCTTCAAACGATGAGCCATGGAACGTTGGTGGTTCCCTGGGTTGATGAATGACGATCGCGGGCTGGGACGCTCCGGTGGTCATTGTCGCTGCAGTCGAGGTCATGGTCTTGGTCTTCCGCGCCTTGTCTTGTAGAAGGCCGTACTCCCGTGGGAGACCTTGCTGTCGGCGGCTCGTTCGCTGCTCTTGGTTGGCGTCGGTGTCTTCTCCGCGACGGGGGCTGGGTTCACGGCTTGACGGGGGCGTCCGGTACATGAACGAAGCAGCACCTCCACCAGATGTCACGCGGTCGTGACGTGGCCAAAGACAGGAAACTTCGTGTTGGGATTTAACTGTTTATTTGGGCGAACCTGTGCCCGGTAAAGGGAAAGTCTAATTACAGCAGCAGTCTTGCACAGATAGCAGTCTCGGACTGATAGCGGCGAACGCAGCGTCGGCCTTCGATCAACAACTCACAAGCGGCGAAGCGCGTCGGCATTTATACCCTTGCCGTCGAATGTTCTAGCGTTATCGCTGGCGGTGGCGTAGGTTCCAGAACAATCTGTACCGTTCGCACAGTGGGCATGATCTTATCGAAATGATCTACTACAGTCCGGAACCTTCTCAAAACCTGCAGGCGCGGTTTGCGCCGAGAATCGTGTGGTGTTTCGGAACGATAACAAAAACTTGTGAAATGGAACGTGGCAATATATATATATATATATATATATATATATATATATATATATATATATAATGATCGCATTAAGACTCTTTCTAATAATTTTGTCCTTCATACAGTCTTTTATTTGATTTGTCACCTGGTAGCCATTGCTTTGGGATCACTGTGGCATAGAGCAGTTGGATATGCTTGGACATGAGTCAGCCATGTTCGTGCTGAAAGTCAGATAAATGCACGAGAGGGACGTGCAAACCTTACACTCACTTGAGTGCAGTGCTTCACAGAAAATCTTGCGCTATTGTTCATTCGTCACCGGGCAGCTATATCCCACGTTACTGGTCCTTCGGACAAAATTCGTTCGGTTATAGCGACTTCCTGTCACTTTAACGCCCAGTCACATGTTGCTATATGCTGACGCTTTTTCTTTGCACTTTATTTTTGAGTACTGACTATGGGCATGCTATCCAAGGCAAAAGGTATTCATAACTTCTCGTAATATCGCTATGACGATGTTGACTTCATAAGAAACTGAGGCACAGACATTGGTGTGTATAATCCACCCCTTCCCGATGCGGCAGTGCATGCTTCCTTTCCTTGCGCAAAGCTCGCGAGGGGCTTCTTTATATCAGATGCTTCCATCCTGGTGATGGGGGTTTTCCCGGCCCTTATCATTCCAACCAAAGAGGCAAGGGGCCGCTCAGGAAAATGAAGGCGGCTTCTACCGTCATACGCCAGTGCCACGGAACACCACTGGTGTGCTGCGCAGAACTACAGTGGAATCTAGCAATGCAGAGCTTTGCTCAAAAAGACAGTCCATATTTTCATGGCATTGGTAAATTTCTTTCTATTTTTCACAATTGGAACGACTCTTTGCTCTCTTCTCCTCACTGAGGAGTATAACCCGTCCCTTTTCACGCCGCCCCTCTGCCGATCCGATGAGCCCCGCGCCTGTCGCAAGCCGCTGCCGGAAGTGAAAACACTGGCGCACCGCCGCCGGCAATTTTAGTACCGGCGCACAGGTCTACAATGGAGTTGACAAATGGGAAAAAAAGTGTATGCCTAGCCTACAGTGTCAAGAAAGAGAGTATCTTCCTGAAGCATGCATGAAACGTCTCGCGACACTTGCATGCGGCGCTAGTGTCGAAATCTGGCATTCGGTGAAGGAATAATGGAATTCCTGCTTGCCCAATGCTACAGAAACGCAGAGGAGAAGAGAGACGTGATCGGACAATTACACATAATTTATGGTATTCATGATTGAATTTTAAGGACAACATTTAAAGTGATCGCGAGAGTTGTGCAGTAAGTGGCCTCCTTGTGCTGGCCGGGTCTACTGCATGACAAGGTATAGACTGAAGGAGGTGTGGTTGTCAGTGTTTCTCCTTGAACCCTTTAGTCCCCTTGCTGGATCACTTGTAACCATTTCCTGTTGGTCTGGGTCACTTGTGAACATTAAACTTGTCCAAGCATCCACTTTAGCTCTATGAAGTGCAAATGAAACTTTCAACAGTGATAGTGGCTGAGATGGAGGCACCCATTTGGGCGCTGTTTATATCTGCCTGTTGTACTCATGTTGAGAGGCAGTACATGTCCTTACAAAACTGGCATATGATCGGATTACTTTAGACGAGATATTACTGCCTGAGTATTTGTATGCAGCTCTTGAAGCTCTGACTTGGCCGTTTTGATTTTGTTGTTGTTGTAGTGCTGTTACCCTCAAAATTTGTAGCAGAGGAATTGTTGCGTTGTAGTGATAGCGGTAAGCTGGTTCTTTTCTAAGTGTCATTTTGTCACACCTCCTCTGAGGCGCACAAATAGTTTCGCTAGTTGGCAAATAATGTACCTTGCAGAATGTCAGTACGTTGAAAGCACTGTCCGGCTGTGTTTAAAAGAATGTTTTAGCTGCCACGACCAGGTAGAATCGCCCTGTGGCAGGACATGTCACCGAGAACAGGGTTGGTATCTGAAGAAGCCAAGAGAAGAGAAAAAAATATTTAGTTGCCTGTAAAGCTAGCCTCTGGGGCTGAATAATCGTTAATCTTAAGGCGGAGCAGCGGCCTTCACGTGATGTCCACAGGGCATGCACCTGGCATCAGGTGCCACTATAGAGAGAATACGTCTGGAAGGAAAGAATTTCATCGAGGGATTTCAATGCCAGTAACAATTGGCTCTCTTGTTGTATGTTGCCACACTGTATTTCCTTTTTATTGGTCAATATTGTAGCAGCTTTGTGATAGCTGGGAACAAGGACAGCTTGTGAGAAAGCTGCCAAAGATTGGCCATGCCAATCAGGTGCCAGTGTATGGCTGCCAAGTTTTGCATGGGTCTGATTGCTTGTGGCGCTGTCTCTTCCCCACAATAATCTCTCTGCGCAGCTGCTGTGGGTCGTGGTGCGCTTCTTCCTGCTGTCCACCGAGATGAGCGTGCTCATCTTTGGGCTGGCCTTTGGTAGGTGCATGCCGTCTCATGCATTAGCAGCACCACTGACTGTTTTTCACGTAGGCCACCTGGACAGCCGCACCAGCATCCAGCGAGTGCTCATGGTCACCTCCTTTGTGGCTGAACTCTATTCGGGCACACAGGTATCCACCCTCCTTCTTTTACCAGGCACGTGTTTGCCGTTTTTTAGAGCTGCTGCCCACTGGTTGTAGCAAATCACATGCGGTTACATAGTTGCTGCACTAAGATGTGGAGGACTACATCCTGGCAATTATTGCATTATTTGCTTGCATCAGCCCTTCATAATCGCTTTTTTTTTATTTCTTTCGTTGTTACAAATAAACTTTTTATTGACATGCAACTGATGACATGCATGGCTTCACTTTTTATTGATGTGCATGGCTTCATTTTTGCTGTCCTTTTTGGTTAAAAGAGTTCAATAAAGCATTCTTTTGGGCTCGTTTGTACAAGCTTGATATATGTTGCGGGAAATTGCGCTGCAGAGCTGAAACAAGGGGGACGCTCACGAGGGCACTTGTTTTGGCAGGTTTTTCTTTTGTACAAGTTCTCGTGAATGTTACAGCTAATTTTCCACAACATATATCAAAGCTGCAGGCACCTTTGGTGGCCTTGGAAGCATACAGGTTGAATCTGTGGGGTTAAAAATATCCGCTAAAGATCTTTCCTTTCCCCGAACTCCGGCACATCTAAATTACCATGGGAAAAGCTGGGTAATGGGGACCCTCTGAATCCTACATAACTGGCCCAGAATTAATTTTTCTAGACGGGATGGCACAGCTAACAATAGCCAAGGTGAGAGGGGTCGGTGTGGGGTGAGTCAGTGTTCAAAGACTCAGTAACTGAGACCTTTGCAAAAAAACCAACATAGATGCTCGATGTAAGTGAGCATCTTGTATACAATATGGAATTTCATTGTGAGTTATTGTGATCGAGTCCCCTTTCATAACATTATATTGAAAAAAAAAAAAACATGCTCGCTCTAGAATATTAGTTGAATAAGGTAAGGTGAGGGGGATCTCCAAATACATTGCAGTTGGTGGTTTTTGATGGCTGTCATATTGCTCCATCGGTCTATTTTGTGTGAGAACCACGAGTGGAAGGAGATAAAGAAGGCCATGGTCTACTTTGTGCGAGAACCACGAGTGGAAGGAGATAAAGAAGATCTGCTTGAGCCGCTTTTTTTACTAGTCAACCTGCCACTCCCAATAAAGCAAGGTGATTGTCAGAAACACGACAAGATTGGTCGAAGAACTGGGTCTCATGACTCGCTCTACACACAAGACCCCACCCAGTAGCCGGAACACATGTCCTGTGCTCTTGGACACCCCTGTTTACAGAACAAGCCACTGCCAACGAGGCTTACCACCAGAGACACTGGCACCGGCACCGGCCATTGACGCAGCGACTATGACTAGTCACAAGCTGCCTTCTAAGCTCCGACCCCTTCTATGTTGATCTGCTACGTCGCTCAGAACCCGCTTATCTTTAGGCAACTTGCCAACTCGCCCAGCTTTCAATGCTTGTTACTCTGAACCCGCTGATGTCTAGTCTTTTTCACCGAGAAGCATCAAGGCGTTGATGAATGGCTAAGTAAGTTTGAACGTGTTGCAGTGATCATTTACTAGGATGATGCTGCAAAACTCGAAAACTTATAACTTGCTTAACGGATGGCGCATGGACATTGTTTCTGAATATGTTTCTGAATAGGATGATGATGATGATGTGACATCTTGGCACGAGTTCTGGCATCGCCTTCTAAAGATATACAGGATTGTTTTGTGATCACTGATCCAGATTTTAAATGAGACCGTCATGATGTACATGGAGGACATGGCTCGGCTTTTCAAGCGAGCGGATCCTGCTGCTGTGGCACAAGAAAAAAAGCTGCCCCACCTTATAGGAACATTTAGGCTGGTTTGTTGCACAGTCTTCCCAAGGGTGTATCTGAGTTCTCTACTGATGCGGCAACAATGGACCAAGCACTGCACCAGCAGTCTGCCCTGTTTGACCGTCAAGTGAATGCAGCATGCACTCGAATTTTTTCACCACCAATGGTGGGAAACCTGTGCCGATTTGCACCAACCTGTGCCAACAGGAAGTTACTCTGCTATACTGACCAAAAAGGGTATTTTTTGTCATTGAGTCATTGCAGCGCCACAGGGTACTTTTGGCATTAAAAGTAACGTTGACAACATGCATCGTGAACGTGATGGGACGCCATCTTGCAGCACTTGAGCTGCTGCAAAAACACATGATCGGCCGATCAATTGTCCAGACTTCCGCGCGATTGCAGCAGTGCTGTTTTTGGCAATCATTGGTGAAGAATGAAGGCAACGTGGTGGCTACTGAAACACACGCCAGAATGACTTATCGCCGACAAAAAGTGACGTGTGTGGCATAGCGCCGCTTCAGGCCTATTACATGCTTTTATTAGCTGGCAACTACCTGAGAGCGCTCAGGCTCCGATGGCTGTCGCCTCAATCGCTGTGTAGTTCAGCGTGTAGTGGTTTGCAGAAACGAAAGCAACTCACTGTAGAGGAGTTGATGTTGTGGATCACATTTATCAAGACAAGAAGCGTCCCGCACGCTTTTGTTAAGCAACAGCCCAAACGTGCCTTTGTCTGCTGCCAGGACCGTTACACCATTGCCTGCAGAAAGCTCATACCAGCTGCATTGAGACAACAGGCTTCCCGCTGCATCGGTACACGGTCTCAAGCAGTAGTGAAAGCAAGTGGCTTGGCATGGTGTGTACGCCTAGTAGATGAATTGCTGCACACAACTAGCTAATAGACAAATGGCTCCCTGCAACTGTACCAAGTATAAAAAAAACTGTGAATTTTCTCCAAGTAGAAGATCGCAGTTCACATTTATCGTGGACAGCCAATCATGTCTGTTTCTTCACTGTGTCTGTCGTTGCGTTGGCTATGTATTCCAGACTCCGCAGGTAGTTTTGAAATGCACTTTGGTGTCGCCACTGCGTGCTATCAAGCGGTCATGTGAGAATGCCTACCATTTCTGAACATTGGCAAAAATAGAGAAATGGTCTCATGGTGGGCACTTCAGGCAATATTTGCTGTGGCACTCTATTTATACATTCTTTAGCGGTGACTGGCGCACGTTAAATGCAAACGAGCATGTGCATATCTAAGGAGGGGGGTCGCAAAGCCAGCCCCATACATTGACATAACAGGGGGAAAAAAGGGTGCAATATTCGGCACAGTACGTTGACATGATAGGGAGGGACGGAGAGGGTGTGCAAAGTCGGCCCCATACATTGGCTTCATATGGAGGTGGGGGGGGGGGGGGGACTGCGACAAACCTGCTCCCCAAAGGGGGAACCCTGCGCAAGCTTATGTACTTGTTTAGTGCATACTGCTGTGAACTTCCATTGAAATGAACTTGTTTAAGACGAATTCTCGCTTATGACGAATTACCTGAGAACTGTTTGTTTTTTCATGAATCCAATTAAAAAAATACACTTTGACGAACAGCCTTGTATCCACTCTTCTGTTATGACAAACATTTTAGGGAGGCCGGCCCCGCTGGCAATTCGCTTCGCGACCAGGAACGAAGCGACGGAAAAAAGAAAAATAAGGCAAGAAAAATAAAAATATCGTTTGCAGCTTCCCACGGGGTGAACTCAAGTGTATTGCAGGGGGGGGGGTCGCATGAATGTTGCATAATTGGGTATGGTTTGGAAATGTGTAATTGTTATTTCAGTTTATTATTGTTATTTTTTCAATAAAGGAGAAGCGTTGCCTTCAACGCCAAGCGAAAGCCAACTAAAGACGCCCTTGTGCACTATCCAGTGCTTACTTGTACGAGGGAGGGAAGGCACTGAACGGATGTGCAGCACGAGCATTTGCTTTTTTTTTTACTAGCAGACGCTGCCTGCATCAGCCTTCCGAGGCGAGAAAGGGGGAGGGAAGTGACAGTTTTGCGGGTCGTCTTCTTGGGCCGGCACGAGACGCAGTCATGCACAGTAAGGGTGTGGACGGTGCCACTGCTGACTGCCGAAGTGCAACATCGTGCAACAAAGAAACGCTCCAAATTTAAAACCAGCCCAAAGCAAACCCTTGCCGCAGCTGGCGGAGAGAACGAGGAAGCGAGCCACCACCTACAGCTCTCTTCAACCCGCGGAGCAGGCGGCGAAGCAACAAAAAAAGAAATGGAGTTCGTATGGCTGCCGCGAAGTAAAAAGCAAAAAAAAAAAGAAAATTGGAAAAAAAACTACGGTGACAAAATCTTTCTATTCGCAAATGGAGCAGTTCTCCTGACGAATGTCGAGCAGAAGCACGTGAGTTTACGTCCCACAGCTGTCTTCATGTGGATGTTTTCCTATCTCGCCACCCCCGAGAAAATGAGTTTTCTCTCTGTGCCGAGCCAGCTGTCACACTATCGTGTCTCGCACTTGTGTGCCTTGCCTCGCTAGGCCTGTTGAAAATGGCCAGTAAGCCAACTCTTCACAAAAAAACAATTGAGCTTTGAAAAAAAAAAAAGGAAAGCATAGATTTTGGCTGAAGTGAAAGCTGGCAAGCTCGTGAAAACCGAAATCACGCAGAAGTTTGGAATTGCCTAGAGTGCGCTATCTGGCATCATAAAGTACAGTGCGCGGATAACCGCCGCACTGAATGAGAGTGATATTGCTTTGAAGTGGAAGAAAATGCGGACGACTGTGCATAAGGGCTTGGAATATTTTCTCCTCGCTTGGATTTAACATGCCCATAGAGTGAATCTACCTGTGAACGGTGTGCTGAAGGCGAGAGCGGAGGAAATTGTCCTGCGAATGGACATTGCGTTGGCCTGCAGTGACGGGTGGCTCAATCGCTTTAGAAAACCACATGGTCTAGTTTTTCGTCCTCTTACTGGTGAGGCCACTGCCGTTGACAAAACGACCTGCAATGACTTGAGGCTTACCAAGCTCAAAGATGTCATCCAGGAGCACGACCTCAGCGACATTAACAACGTCGACGAGACAGCCCTATTTTATCAGATGCTGCCCCAGAAGACTAGCATTCGCTGGCAGCAATAGCAGGGGGGTAAGCACAGCAAGGGGAGGATCACTGTACTCGTTGGTGCGAGCATGTCGAAAAGTGAGAAGCTGAAGCTGCTGCTCATCGGCAAATCCAAATCGCCACACTGCTTCAAGCATGCTAGAACGCTGCCAGTGGCCTTTAAAGCCAACTCATAGTCTTTGAAAACACAGTCGATTTTTGAGCACCGGCTATGAGACATGGATTGAAGTTTCGTTAAGGAGAAGCATACTCTTCCTGATGGACAACGGCCCTGGGCACGGGCACGTTGCCGATCTTCAAGCGATTCGTTTGGAGTTTTTGCCTGCTCACGGTGTGATAAACAGTCTGAAAAAGCACTATCGCCGGTAACTTCTGCAGAGAATGCTACTCTGCATAGAAAGCGACAAGCACTACACCGTTGGCCCACTGACAATGCTTCACCTGCTTATTAATGCCTGGAGCCAGGTGACTGAAACAATAATCATGAACTGGTTCCGTCACGTGGGGTTTGTTGTGCCCGAGTGTTCAGCTCAGGATCCTAATTGTGAAGATGATGAGGAAGAGGTGAAGTTGGTGGCCCCTCTAGGCAGCAAGGGACTTGTCCTGGACATGGGCAGTTATACCAGCATTGACGTGAAGAGCCAACGTATAAAGAAGAAGATGGATTGGGCACATTGATTCAAGAGGTACTCGAGGAGCCTGCGGACGTAATGTCGTATGACAAGGGAGACACCTGCTTGCGGCCAGCGCCAGTGGCCAATAATGCAGCAGGCACCTATCTTCGTTCCTTAAAGGGACACAAAAATCAAATAACAATTTACGTCAGACTGAAAGCTCAATGTATGACAACATGTAAAATGACAGTACTATCGACAACATTACCCTACTTATCGAGAAATTAAAGTAAATCCACAAGAAACACATGTTCCGCAGCAGGACAGTCTCTAAATGATCCCAATGACATCAGACGAACCACCTACAATTAATCACTAGTAATCAATCTAGCTGCACTAAATAATGTTCTGTGCATCAAGAGACACAATAAAATGCTGCTTGATCGTTTCTGTTTCATTAATGGAAAAAAGAACTACCAGACATTACTAACGAAGATTGGCACGAGTGGTTCAAACATTAAATTTTCGCATGGTCAAATTGGACAGGTGGTGCCATCTAGCGGGGCCAAGTTGATCCAAAATACGTCTGCAATCTTTGAGCCAATGGCGGGATGGCCATTGTTGCTGCTGTGGCTCCTGCTGCTAGCGAAGCAAAGCCCGGCAACGTTGTGCACAGCAACAGTAACGCAAGTCGGTCCGGTTGGTCCGCTTCAGTGAGGCGGGTAATTTGAAGTGCGCTAACCCAATGCAGACCACTAAATTGTGATTTTAATTCAAGACAGGCCCTTCCTTGGCACAAAAGTAACACTACGAGGTTTATGGACCACTATTTCAACAATCAACATCGACTTAATAGTTGCCTTCATTGTTCTTTTAGGAAACTATATTGAGCAGTTTGAAGGAACTCGGGTGTTCTTAAGGTCACTAGAAGATATTTCATCATTTGTGGCTGCTCGCCATTGCGCGCAACATCGACAGACATCTACCGTGGATTGGAGAAAGCCTGACAAGGAGCACTTGAACACAGTTGCCTTTAAACTGACTCTCGCTAATGAATATTTTTTCCGAGCCCCGCCGCGGTGGTCTAGTGGCTAAGGTACTCGGCTGCTGACCAGCAGGGCGCGGGTTCGAATCCCGGCTGCGGCGACTGCATTTCCGATGGAGGCGGAAATGTTGGAGGCCCGTGTGCTCAGATTTGGGTGCACATTAAAGAACCACGGGTGGTCTAAATTTCCGGAGCCCTCCACTACGGCTTCTCTCATAATCATACAGTGGTTTTGGGACGTTAAACCCCACATATCAATCAATCAATATTTTTCCGTATTTTTTTCTTTTGATGTTAGTGTACTTGATTCTTTATTCTGAACTAAGATACTTGCATGCACCTTAGTATGTCGCCAATTCTTTGTTTGAGGGTGTTTCTTATAAGACAACCGATTCTTCATGGGTCCTTCGAGTTCGCCTTAAAGGGAGTCCATTGTACGTTTAGTGCATAGTTAGCTGCATAACCAACAGGTTCTCGGCATGTATGTATGTATTAATGAGGTTTTACTGTAAGGAGCTTTTAATGCATGCACATGTGTGTGTGTGTGCGTGCATGCTTGCGTGCACTGCTATGAACTTCATGCTGCAGCTAGTTTGATACAATATCCTACACTATGGATGAAATTTGCTCAGCGCAGACCAAGGTAAAAAATACAATTAAAAGACCCTTTGCTATCTTATGTCACCACTTCTGTATATAATCCTACTTTGGTTTATTTCTTGTGCTCATTTTGTGGGCTTCTGGGCTTGCTGCTTCTCTATAAATTATGTGTAAACCGAGGGAACATTAAACTAAAGTAATTTTGTTTTCCTCTGTGCATGTGTGTCATGAAAGCTCACGCATGCTCCAAACACAGAGGTAGCTGCTCCAAAATCAGATATTGTCTGCTTCAAAGTGCTGGAAGGCATTCCCACCACTGCACTAGTTTTGGGAACAAAAGCACTGAATAGATTCGCGATGCAAAAAAAGGAAGAAGTTGTATGGGGCAAGCTTTTTTCCCCCCTGGTAGCAGCAAGGCTGGCGCATTGCACCTGTCGCTCATCATTATCGCTTACAACGCATTGCCTTGGAGGGCTTTTAAGGGCCATGGTTTCTGCAGATTCGAGGGGAAATCGGGATCGGGAATGAGCACATGGTACCCAGAATTCTCAAATTAACTGGACTGGTGCTGACCGCCGCCTCAAATTATCTGCTAAGAGTTACATTGCAAAATACAGGAGGGCAGAAATATTTTTAAGTAAATGGAATTTCAAAACAACCGTGTTTGAATTAATGAGATTTTAGTGTAGTTAAATGATGCTTGTGATAGATAATGTCTGGTTTTCTTGTGTTTTCTTACTTTTAAATGTGATTATTTCAAAACCATGTTTTTATTAGTAGTTAGCCACCATTGTTTCCTATATATTCCTAGATAAACAGTTGAACAAAAGAAAAAAGATAAAGCAGGGTAGAATTTGAAGGGCTCATTCTAGGGCTGGTGCTCATAATATTCTTGCCTGCAATCTGTGATTGCACTTTCATCGCTTTTTACGTGCTGTATAAATCGTATACTGTAGTGCATTTATATCTTACAATTTTGTGCAAAATGTTATGATCTGCAGTATGTATCGCTTGTCCAATAACTGTGAGTTTGTACTGTTACAGGGTGTATTGGAGTTGGTGCTGCCAGACCGGAAGTTTTATGTGCCTGACAAGAACTTCGAGTTGTTTGGCCATGGCGGCATGCTCTTCTGGTTCATCAGCTCGGTCATTTTTGCTGTGGTAAGCATCTGTGGCCTTCACTCAAATGAAACAAAATATTGTATTTACTCCGTTTGTAACACGAAGGGTGCCAGAAAGAAAGAAAGGGACAAAAATGAAAATCACTGCACCTGATATTCGCTATTGAAGGGCGAGGGACGACACCGGGCAGCAAAAAATTTGGGAGAAGTCAGTTAAGTTCGGTGACACTTTGGGTGCTCTTCACTTTCGGAGATGTAGCTCTCAACGATGGTTCACAATGCTGGACAGTTCGGGTTGGGCTCTTTACCCTTAGACACATGATTGATTTGTGGGGTTTAACGTCCCAAAACCACCGTATGATTATGAGAGACGCCGTAGTGGAGGGCTCCGGAAATTTTGGTTCTTTAACGTGCACCCAAATCTGAGTACACGGGCCTACAACATTTCCGCCTCCATCGGAAATGCAGCCGCCACAACCGGGATTTGATCCCGCGACCTGCGGGTCAGCAGCCGAGTACCTTAAACACTAGACCACTGTGGCGGGCGGGGCACCCTTAGACACACAGCACATCGCTATTGATACTGGGCACTTGTGCATGTTTCATATGGTGGGACAGATTGGTTCCATGGATGGAATTGCTGTGTCAACAATGTGACGCTGATACAGTAAAACCTCTCTAATTTTACACCTGTTAATTTGGAAAACCTGATAATTTGGACATGTTTTCTGGTCCTGAAATGCTTCTGTATTATTGAATATAAGCTTTCAATAATTCGGTCATTTTTCTGGTCCCACAATTTATGAATGAGCACTTAATGTATAGTTGGTTCAGGCTCCTGCTTGCCTGCACTCGATTATCGGGGGCTTTCATTGGAAAGGAAGGGACTTTTGTTTACGTGGCTTCTGGAAATTTAATCTTGTAGTGTGCACCCCTGGCTCTGTGTTATTTCATGTTTGTATTTTATTGTAAAAGAAGACAACAAGAGGAGCACAAACACAGGCTTGCACTGTGGCTGCTGACATTGAGCTCATCTGCACCACCACTACTAAGGGTATGCGAGCCTCAGCCATCAAATTTGGCATTTCTTGCTTCAATGTAAAACTGCAGACGAGCTGGCTCTCGGCATGCACTTATGATTTCAGTAATGCCAAGCTTTGGTGGCCATCTTCCAGCTGAGGGCCTCCATGCAGCACCTTAATAGGAAGAGCTTCCAGTGATTAGATTCACGAGCCATTTCTTGATTACTCTTGTAAAGAATCTTAACGTTACATTGGATACTGTTGCGAGCGTGCAGCAACCTACCACTTCAAAGGCTCCCAGCGACAGTACCCAGAGCCAGACTACCTGGAAAGTGCCGCACGACTGGCCTGCAGTAACGTGCAGAACGCGCTTTGAATTGTGCAGTGCTCCGTGCTTGCCTTTCTCTAAGAGACTGTAGTCGGGTCTGCCAGAGACGCTGGGCGCGTCCCTTAGAGACACTAGATGCGTCTTAACCGCAGAGCCGCGCCCTCCTCCTCATGCGCCTCGGCGCTTCTAAAAGGTTGGCACATCTAGTGGCGGGCTGTTTCCTCGTCCACATGTTTTGTACATACGCTGTAAATTAAACGTTGTGTGTTCTTTTGGCTGTCCTCTGCCTTTCAACTGCCTGGACGCTCCCTGCCCGGCATTGGTCCTCACGACACGCTACCCAGGAGACCGTGGGGCCTCTTCTAATAATACACTTGGAGTTCTAGGTGGATGCGTCTTTTAAGTATACATTCTGTGTATTTTGACTAAAGTAAATTCAGCTGGAAATGCTGCCTGTGTCATCATCCTCGTCTTCTGTTTGCTGAAAGGAGTTGAGAAGGTTTTAGTTTGCCGAAGTCACTCGCGATGACAAGTTGTTGTGACTAGCACTGGTTAGAAAGGAGTGCACGGGAGGCATGGCATTGCTTACTGCCTTCAGATGAAACCTTCGTGTCTTGGACAAGGTTCTAGCTATGGCTGTTCACCTGGGCCACTTGTAGTTGGCCAGCAAGAGTTGCCAAATGCATTTGGTTACCACTCATTTTCGCAAAGAGATCAAGTAACACAAACGTTCCAACCATTTTGGCGACTATCTCAAATGTATTTGAAAAAAATCGTGCTCATTTATTGCATTGAAAATAGTGAAACAATAGAATATTTCCGAGATAGAAAAATTTGTGGTCACGTGGCTGCCTTCTGAACTTCCTGGAATGTCGTTTGGGTATTGTTTGTGGCAAAATTTACTGTAAAAGTGCCGCTCCTTTTTTCTATACCAAAATTGGTCTACATGTTAAGTAAAGGTTCTTGTGTAAGGTGTTTGAAGCTCAGTAATATTAGTGCAATTTTTCTGGCACATACCTCTCCACAAATTCAGCCAGGATGTGTTATGTTTGCATATTTTCTATTGCAATGCTGCACTTTGTATGAGTATCTCAGTAGTGAATACTTACTCCTCAAAAGGTACATTTTCAAAAAGAAAAAAAATTCTTAGTCCTCTCAAACTGCAACACTTCACGAGGAAAATTCACTAATTTCACAAAATCATCTTTTTTATCCATATTGAGATGCAATTTGCATCATGTGCTGGTTTATTTTAAAATCGCCTTTATACCTAAATTGAATGCATTCGAACAGTTCTTTCTATATGGCAAATCTTATTATTAAATTTTTTGTTTTAAGGAAGAAAATAATTTTTGAATTTTTCCATTGGCGCCTATTTTCTCATTTGGTCATAGAACAGCTGCCGCCTTGAAATTTCCCATTGCCATGAATGGGGAAAGAGATTTTAAATCATATTAGTTAATAAGATATTGCACTAATATTATGAAGCTTCAAACACCTTACACAAGCACCTTTACTTAACTTGTAGAGCAAATTTAGTAAAGAAAGAAGGAGGGGTACTTTAAAAATAAATTTTTCCACGAACAACACCCAAACGACATTCCAGGAAGTTCACAGGGCAGCCACGTGACAACAAATTTTTTTCTCTCTGAAATATTTTAGCATTTCACTATTTTTCAATGCAGTAAATGAGCACCATTTTTTTTTTTTCGAGTAAATTAGAAATGGTCGTTAAAATGACTGGAACGTTACACTTGGGATGACTCACAAAGGACTCGCATAAAAATAAGCTCATACGTAGCTGCCCTGTCTATATAGCTACTGAAGCTGATCTCTCCTTCTTCCTTAACAGGATGGGTATTGGGTTTACTACAGGGCCTGTTCTAGTGATCGCCAATTTAGCTGACCCTGTGGAAGCTTGTTCCATTCTGTTCCTACACATCGCTCATGGCTGTGCATCATATCTAGCTTGTAAAGTGCTATTATTTATTTGCAGAAATTTTAAGTGCACAACAAAAGAAGTGAGGGCTCTTACACAAACATTCAGTAGTACTTGACTACGCTTGCACCATTTGGGACTCGACTCGGATGTACCTCGCAGAAAAAGAACAGAAAAAGTTGAGCTCCTTGATTATGAGAAATGACTACAGTCCCTATGTGAATATGTCTGAAATCAGGCTTCACCACTAAACCATCTAAACACTGATATGAAACACTGGTATCAAAACCACTGATACTCCCTTGGTGTCTCGTTCAACATGTATTACATCTCTGTGTGCCAGGAATCTGAAAAAAAAAAAAAAAAGAGTCGTTGCCTGTGCTGAAGTAACTGTCCTTGCTTCTCTCCACGAGAGGTATGCGGGAACTGCACATATACCGTATTTACTCGCATAATGAACGCACTTTTTTCTTGAAAAAAAAAAAAAAAAAAGCTGGGCAAAGTGGGGGTGCAATTATTACCTTGGAAAAATTTTATGAAAATTTTTTTGTGATAAGCAAAAAAGTACGGTAATGCAAAAAACAAAAGGTAGGTCGCTCAACTTGCACTTTACTCATCTTTGGTGGTTGAAGGTGCTATCTTCTGCAAGCTGTTCTCGTGCTGCCCATGCACGTCGTAAAAGCATTTCAGGGCTATCTTTTCTCGCAATCATTTAACCGTAACAGTGGTATCTGCTGTGGTCTCAAGGGGTGTCCAGAAGCATGCACTACGACGCCACGACGCACTTTGCCAACTTGGCAACCTCACACAACGACCGCGACAACGCCATTGACATCGTAGCAAGCAATCGACATAGTAGGAAGCTACCACCAAAGCATCAAAACAAACGGCCGATTACGAGAATAATGACAAAATATGACGGCCGCCTCGTTTGCAACTGAAGCAAAATTCGGGGACCATGTTACAAATGTAGTCACGATGTTTTCTTGGCAAAAGTGATTTCTTTCTGGTTTTCTAGAAACCTGCGACACGATGGGGACGAATGGCCTTTTGCGAAAGCCATAGCGATAGCAAGTTCTGTTCTCGCACGAAAATTGCACGCATGTGGTTGGGCCTTAAAGTTTCATACCTGCAGGAAGTGACCATCGGTTGGCGCGGGAAGTTTTGCGACCTTTGCTCGCTGTGTGCTTGTCAGCTGCTATGTTGCTACACTCACATCCTTCCTGAACCTCGCTGTGGCACAAAGATATTTAAAAAAGACTGAGTGCGTGCTGCGCACAGATGGAAAGAAAGAACTACTATATGGCGTGCTGCAGCAAGCGATGGGATGGGAGGAGGGATCGAGCCGAGGTGGCCGAGGGGAGTTGACATAATAATAAAAAAAAAACGGAAGAGATCAAACGGGCACGGAGGTGCCAGCTGTCGGCTAGCGGGACTGCAGTGGACGGCTAGAGGGAGTGCATTTTTACGCAGGAAAGGCAAAAATCCGAATTTTGACGACTGAAGTTGGAGGTGCATTTGTTATGCGAGTGCGTTCATTACGCGAGTAAATACAGTATATGTACCGATGGTTCAACACACCTTCGGTGTTCGTCCGGGGCAGTGGTTGTCCCAGCATGAGCCATTATCATCAGCTTTAAAACTTGCCATTCCACGATGTAGACTGCTGCAGAACCAGCTACTCTGCACTTTGTTATGTCACTGGTGAACCACATCAAGAATGGTCAATCTTCAGCGACTCCAAGGCAGTCCTACTGTCTGTGCTATCAGCACTGAGCCATGGGAGCAGCTTCATACACCACATCAGAAAGAGCACCACGTGACGTTTCGGTGGCTTCCTAGGAAACGAACATGCTGATGATGCCGCTCGGGCAGCTATTAGAAGAACATAGATAACATGCAATTTTCAAGGTGTGATGCTGCCAGCGATCCTCAAAAGCTTCCATAGGAGATCACGCTCTCTTCATGATGCCCACGAAGCAGACCAATCGTCAACACAGCCCGAGCTGCTTTACAAATATCTGTATGCCTACTGGACCCTGCCGAACCGATGCCACACTGCTTTATCGTTCATGGTTAGGTGTGGCATTCAGCAAATCTTATTCTTTTCACATTGGGATGGCCAACAACGCTCTCTGCGATGCCTGTCGTTGCGAGGAGATTGCGCCACATCCTGTGTGACTGTTCAGTACATGACATTCAGGGACAGTCACTGGTGTCTGTTCTAGACTACCGTGACAATAAGTGAATGTCTGTTGAATCTATTCTTGAATGTCCTACACAGAGGACATAGCAGCTGAAGGCAACCAAAGAAATGCTCAAGTTTCTAAAGGAAAACTAACTTAGACAAGCGACTGTGATGTCTGGTGCCACGCGAGCCGAATGGACATGTAACTGACAGCATGTATGTGTGTGTGATGTTATGTGCTATGTTTCCCACTCTTTCAATCTCCCCTTAGAGTAGCAAACTGGTTTTCCTAGACAGGTTAACATCTCCGCCTTTCCTTCCCTGCCATTTCTTTTTCATTCTCTTGCTGTGCCCCCAAAACATTTCCTTGGTTATCTATCTTCAACATTACTTTAAAGGGGCAGCAAACAGGCTTTGAATTTTTTTTTATACCCCTCAAATAAGCTCGCCAATTCTTATTGTAGAGTGCAGCAATCGCATCTTTTTTTTTTTTAATTTACAGCACTTCGCGCTGTGCATTCTCCATTTTGAAAAATCATTCCTGTGCCTATTTCCTTTGCCTTACCAATCCCCACCGTACGCACAGTGACGCAAGCTTACCCAGCAGCAACTTTCCGTACCACTGAGCTCGTTAATAGGCTCTTTCAGGTGCACAGTCTGCATTTGCATTTCCCTGTGCTGCCCTCTGCCCTTTTGCAAAGCCTTAGACTACTGGAACAAGTGGAATTGCCCGAACGAAAGCCTCCAAGAGGTGTCACACCACTTCACCGCTAGGGGAAGGTTGCCCCCTCGAACCGCACTTTCTTCCCACGCCAGTATGGCCTGCGCTCATGTTGGGGAGGTCCTGCTTGGTCGTTGGCTGGCTGTGCACTGATGAAGTATTGCTGACGTTATATTATGTTACTGAAGCTGGCGGCGTCACGATGATGGGCTACGCCGTCCCCTTTCCTATGGCAGAGAAGGCTGGGGAGACCACGTGAAAATTTGAAACCAGCTGAAATGGATGTTTTGACCTTTGCAACTTTCTGCACGTATTCACCAAATTCTTGCGGCAGCATGCTCTCAAAGCAAAAGCAAAAGTGTGCATATTTCTCTTCATAAACATTTCTCACTCTTTACTTGCTCTTTAAGTGCCCTGTAGCACTTTTCCTAGTATTCATGATGTGGCTTCATGAAAGGAGTTTATTGCCTTACAAATAGACTTGGGGTCTCTCAAACACGATTGTAGTTACCAGGATTTGTTGCGTGCCTTAAGTGGTTTCTACCTATCCTTGTGTATCATGCTAAAAGCTATGCTGAGAAGGTCGGGATCATTATGCTTTATCCTGAAGTGAAATCTCGTGATTTTCAGCCCAGCACCACGATTGCCGAGTTATCACGGAGCTGCACCTAGAAAAAAAAATAATGAATTGAAAGATTCAATTTTATTGATCATAAGATCAAATTGTGTGGGGACCTCCACAAAGTCTTGCTAATCTAGACAGCCCATTCCTTTTTTTTAAACCTTATAAGTGCTAGGGTAACAAGTCATGTAAGAAAAGACAGTATTCTACGTGCCTTCATGTGGATATTCGCATGCTTGTTGATTTTCATGTAACTGCCCCATTGCATGTATAACCACAACTTGGAACATACGGCATTCAAATCTCAGAGAACATTTTCAATTGTTTTAGGATCATCCAGTTAGAACAGTAAAATGTATTCAGTAACTATTTTGGCCACCAACGATAGTGCTGGAATCTTTGATGCCACGTGCGTAAATGCTAATGCGCTTTTGAGCTGATCAATTTCTTTATGGCTGTGCGCGTGGATAACATTGAAATTTGAGTTTTTCTTTTTCTGGGCACAAGTTTGCTCTATGAAGAGTTTGAATGTGACCGGCTGCGGTTGCTTTTTTCATTGTCACAACCATGTGACATCATGTTTACCTTAAGCATACTGCTTGACAGGGCAAGTGTAATAATAAGTTTCACTCTTGGAGTGAAATTAGAATGAAACTGCCTTTTTCTGTGCAGGTGTACATTGTTGTGTTCCTGCTTCCATGGACTGGTCTACGAGAACGTATAGCTTTGCCAGGTAATGCTTTCATCGCTGCATCTGGTGAGGTGAATGGTGTAACCTCCTTTAAAAAGAAAATAAATGCAGCGTCTGCTTTTCATTAATGGCAAGTCACGTGCTTGCAGCCAAGCAGAGCTTCTACTGGTATGCCCTGTTCCTCGCTGTGCTCAACGTGGCCCAGGCAGTTGGCTCGGGCCTCTACTACTACGACATTCGGGAAGGTGTCTGGTGAGTTTGTCGCAAGGCTTGGTCACAACAGGAGTCACCCACAGGATGTCTCCTATATTCAAAATAAAAGCCTAATCATGGCATGTCTTGCTGGGCTAAGTCATCTTTGTGAGTGGTGGTGGATATGAGTGTCATTATTGACAGAATCCTGCATGATTACACTGACACTTTGTCACAAGTCAGCCGTGCTGAAAATGAAACGTGCGGCCTCTGTCCCATTTCGTTTCTTGGACGTGTCTTTGTTCCAGCATTCTGGAAAGTGCCTCTGTAATTTTTGGCAAGCAGCCTTGCAAGGCGAACCCCACAAACACATTCTCCGATGCCTACATGCATGTTAGGTTTTTCTACGCATATGGATTACCCCACATTATGATCAGTCTTCGTGCAAAAATATCATCATCATCAACCTATTTTTTATCTACTGCAAGACAAAAGAACTACCGAATGGTCTCCAATTTGCCATAGACAATCTTAGTTTATGCCTCTGTTGGCTTCATAAGTTGCTGTGGTCCCCGGCTGTATTTTATTTCTCTTAGTAACCCGTTGTTTACTCCAACTACAATGTTGATGATGAAGGAATTCTTGTTTCAACTCTGCTGTACCGTTCCTAAGGTGACAGCAAATGCATCAGTTGTCACAGTTGTTTCCAGAGTCAGGTCAAGCTACTGCATTAACTTGCCCGCCAGTTGTTTCATATCTTGAGAAGACTTTGTGTCCCAGCTAAATGGAGCATGCATAGACACTGTGCAGTCGACTTCCCTTAATACGGACTTCACGGAAACTGCACAAAACTTCAAATTAAACCAACTTCAAATGAAGCCAAAAGCTAAAAAAACTGCGCTTTTATTGCTTCAAATTCAAAAGTTCCCTGTCACTGCTCGAAGCTCCAATGAACATACAAGTCTTATTTCACGGCTCTTCATACAGTAGAAGCTCGCCCACACATTTTTCAGGGGACTATAAAAAAATTGTAAAAATGAGGAAATGCAAATGCCCATAAATGCAACAATTTAAAAACGAAAGGGATTAAAAAGCACACAATTTTATTTCAGTACCTGTACACATATACATGAACGATCAGCCCAAGGCAAGCAACTGCAGTGTTAAGAAATGACAGTTAGGCTGAGATTTAGATGCATATTAGACACCTACAGTGCGTTATGGCTCATGCCATGCCACATTACATTTCTTCAAAATAATCCTGGGGTGGCATTCTTAAAGGGGTACTGACACCTTTTTTCAGAGGCGATTTTACTCTTGTGTACAGAGACAGCTCTGAGTAAGTGTGACACTCACCAAATGTTTAGATCGTGTATATTTAAAACTATTTTCTCACGGCAAACCTACAGACATTGACACTAACCTCACCTCAGGCTACAATAATAATGCAGGTGACTTCATGCAGCAGTCTGGACAATTGTGATGATTTCAAGCACCAAAAGTACGAAGTAAGATAAATGAGGAGCGCTGACTCCACCGCCGCTCCACGCTTTCGCGCCGGACACATCGTGCAGTGCGCATGCAGTTGTCTAACTCATTCCTTTGCTCTGCTCGTCCGCTCCTCTTTCTGCTTTTGCACATGCTTCCTCCTCTCTCGACACGTATCGCAACGCATAGCGCCACCTGTACAGCTGCGCTAATGAGCGCATGTGCGAACTGGCGGAAACCAGTGGCGGCCGCGGCAAAGAGTGGCGAGCGTGTCGTCTGCTAGAAAACAGTTTGCTCGGCTGCCTCAGTATGACAACCAAAAGAAACGTATATATGCATACTCATAATTAAATAAGAAATTAAAACATCGTATCACTTTTTTTTACACATATGCGAAACACTGCTACAGATCTTTAGGCAAAATCGACAATAAGTTCTGCAGAAAAAGAACGGCAGATCAGACGTTTACTTGTTTTCCACGCCTGGACGCCTGAGTGGAAGTGTTGGCCAGACATTTTCGTGTTATACCCTTTATTTAAATATCCGTAATGTGCTTGTTCATGCTCGAAGGGGCAAGATATCTTCGTATTTGTGTGCAAAGACGCGGGGCAAGCGGACAGAGGGCAATGAAGGGTTTTGTTCCTGGCTGCAAGTCTGGTTATGCCAAAGAGTAGGAGAAGATTTCACTCCTCACGGCCCCATCTGATCCGCTGCTACTGAATCAGTGGCGTCAAAAAGTATCCGTGAGTAAGCGACCCCTGAAATCAAAGGAGAAAATATGTGCTTGACACTTCCAGAAGCACCTCATATTTGATAGGTACTTCAGAAAACACAAAGGAAACGTTCTACTACATGTAAAGAAAGTGCCTCTAATTTATAAGGGAGCAATTCCTTCCATCTTTGGGGAAAGCGTGGCTCAACTCGATGCTGAATAAACGGAGGAACTAACAGACAGCGGTGCCGAAGAACAAGAGAACATCAATTTCTCTACAACCGCATACACAGTGAGTGCCTTTCTTTGCCCAGATAATAAAAATTCTCAGCGTTGCCTACGAGAGGACTCCTTCACTTGGTCGCCTGGCAAGGATCTAAGAAAAGACAACAGCTTGAGTGCGCCTTCCAACGAACAATTTGCAGCAGAGGGGGGCGCAAGCAGCTCTACTGCCATAAGCAACAACAGAGATTCTCTGTGTTCAGACCGAAGCTAACTTTTTGCAATGTTACCTCATGTATTAGGTCAAGTATATGTTATGTTTTTGTGCGTTGTAGTGGCATTGTATAATTCTGCGTGGTCCACGTTAAAGATGTCAGGCGTTTGGCCTGTTACGAATAAAATAAGTAAAACGATACATTGGATTATTTCTTCTCGTGATGTCAATCCGTAAACTGCAATAGGCAGGCTCTTTACAGAAAAGAATTGGTAGCAGACGTAAGGCATGCGCGGAGCAGACCAAGGAAAGCGGCCAAGCGCGCGTCCGTGCCGTTGCTATAGCAACAAAGGTCTGAGCCCCCAACCGACGATTCTGCTTGAGGCAGCGCCTCTTCTCCACTACTTTCTTTCATTTGCAGCGCCACCAGGCAAACGAACTGCGAAGCATGAAGCGGCGTTGCAAGATGTGTCCCTTCCAGACGAGCAAAGTCGGCGCTTCTCTCTTATCTTACTCCATGACCAAAACACGAAAAATGGCAGCATGCCCACTTGCGTGTCGCTTTCTGAATCATCTGCTCATGCTGAGCGGTGGTGCGGTCACTGTCATCCAGCATACCTGTGAAGCGAGCTATTGGAATTTGAAATTGTGTACGTGCACACAAATACAAGATATACGCTTATCAGAGGGCAAATGAATCATTTGATTTCGAATTTACCATCATGACGCCAATATTTTGCCCTGTCAAGTCTTGCACCAGTGAAACAAAGGACAATAGGTGCAAGTTCTACCAATTCCTCTTCAATCCGGCCCGGAGACAAACGTTGGTCGATTTCGTGTGCTATGGCTGAAGCCGAGACTAGATACCTACCAAGCAGAGCTTACTCTGTTCGCTGAACTTCACTCCGGGTTGGTACACGTGCAAAATACGGTTGCTGACCGACTTCAGATTGTTAATGAAGAAGCTGCGCCTTGAAAGTGATGAAATTCCAATGTTTTGCTCCTCACCCCCCACACATGCCTTGACAGTTGCCACTCGTGCAGCGCGCAGCAGATGATCGAAGAAGCTACGTGTGGGCGAAGATGTGTCACGAAAACTTGCTCATGCACATACTACCACCTGGTGGCCCTGCTCATACCATGTCGTGACGTCAAGTTACAGTAGGAACCAAAACTAGCTTTTAAAAGCACGCTGTAATTAAGCACTCACTCTAGCTTACCGGTACATTTCCTATGCTCTCATAGGCTTGGCCTATCATTTGACGCAAAAATGGGATAAGAGAAAAATTGTGTCAGTACCCCTTTAAGCGACCATAAGAGAGAATGCCGTCGGTCACAGAAATTTAATTGTTGTTGCATGTGATTCTGTTAGCATTAACTGCAGAATGCATTAAAGAACTTGGTGTATCCAGCACAACTGCACGATTATTGCAACAATTCACGAGCACAAGACCACTAGAAGCATGGGCAACAATGAGCTCATAAAAAAGTCCTGCCAAAGTGACAGTGCAACCAAGCAATATTGGGAACCTTACTTTTGCTAGTAGTCAGTCGCAAACCAACTGACGTCATAGATACCAGGTGTAAATAGCAAACGCAGATCTCAGGGTGTATGCTTTTGCCGGCAGAAAGGGGAAACACAGTATGGCTAATGTTTACACTACATTGTGCGACTAATCTCCTAGCCAAGTAAAGCTAGTCTGCATGAGAAATGTACATGACCGATCTCCATGTTTACTCGGGCAGCTGGGAGTGCGAGTTCACAGTGTATCGCATGGGAATGGTCCGACAGCTGCAACCTCACAGTGTGGTTCCCAATGCGGGAGATGCTGTGACAGGTACGCAAAGGCTAGCCAGAACGACGTAGGAGGAGAACATAGCACGTGTGAAGGTAACAGAGAGACCCTATTGTAGTTGAGAGAACACAACTACTGTTGATTTCGCAGTCCTCCAAACATTTGCAGCAATACCATTACTCATTCGGAGTTGAATAATTATGAAATGTCTCCATCTATTTTCAAGAACACCAAGTGCATTTTTATGTTTGCCCTTCTGATCTCAACCTATGGTCCTCTGTTTAATGCCTTGTGTTTTCCTGTGTTCATGTGGCGCTAAGTATACTTCATGCAAGCCATTTCGAGCACCAAACATGCAAGACTTGCCTTGTAATAATTCTGGCGTTTTGCTAAACTGTACAGTTGAGCGAAATTTCAGCTAGTCTTATCATTTGAAAGTCTTTTTCCATTTCTGCAATAAGAATCACAGAGTTCTTTTACCCATGCCTTCCTGCTCGCCACCTAACACCGCCCGCCTTCCTGTAGTCAGAGAAAACTTGCTGTTTATGCAGTGGGAGCTGTTCTGGGCAAGCATGGACACTGGCACGAAACAGCCGCTTACGAGTCCGCATTCTTCGATAGGCAAAGCATTTATGCAGCAGATTTACTCTACTTACACTGAGGTCGATTAGTGCGTGTGGATGCCAGTGGTTTCACATCCTCGTTTTAGGAGCGACCTTTTCATGACCCCTTTAACTACCCTATTGTCGATCATCGAGCTGCATGGGGCATTGGCAAATTTTGGAACAAAAAGCTGGCACAGAATTGGTGTCGTGCTGGACTCTGCAAAATCTGTTCTTTTGCATGAACAAAGCCTCATCAAATTCAATAAAAGTGGATGACAAAGTAGATGGTTAAAAGCTGCAAAAACGAGTCAATGGGAACTCAACAGACATGCTGGAACAAAAGTGCCTCATTTTCTTCAGCCAAATTATGCAGTAACATTTTACATTTTATCATGGAATCTGATTTTACCATGTAATCTGATAATCTGATTTTCAACAGCGTGCGTCATTCTCTATAAAGCAGTCGTCAAACCTGCTAGTATTATGGCTGGTGCTCACGTAAGCTGTCGAATAAACTTAGCTATTCGCTTCCAGCGTGTAACCTTAACAGAATGATCTCAAGCAATTGTGAGGGTTCTCAAACATTCCTTGCAACAGCTTTTGTGGCTGGCACTCGAATTCATCGAAATAATGCTTACAAATGGGCATGGCAATATCCTGAAGTTCTGTTTAATGTTTCTTTTTTTCAATCCTAATATACCTGTACTTGTGCTACACAATTTTTGGGTAAAATATGGGCAGTGTTCTTGCTTTCTCTGATTTCAGCGTGGTAGACGTGACCAGCTACCTCTACTTTACCATCTTCACCCCACTTGTCTATAAGACGTTCCTAGCAGACTTCTTCAGGTGAGCGGTGCTAGACTCTGCAAGTTTAGCTAATGTGGGTCATTCTATGAGATGTGGCCCACTCAGTTGTGATAATGAGTTGTCTCTTTCTAGCATCTCGCAGCCCAGCATCATGTTCTCGTACAAGGCCCAAACGGACGACCCCATGGAGGACGACAACGTCAGCTTGCCCCACCAGCTGTCCTGCTCGTCGCTCAAGACTGACTCGGACTACATTTACCAGGTGCACATTGCACACATCTGAGTGTTGCGCATGCGTGTGAGCAAGCTTGCCAAGGATGGTGCTGCACGCTGTTGCAAGTTTGATGCTGTCTTATCTGTCTTTAATCTAGTCACTATAAAGGATTCTTAACTGCAACAAGTAGCTCTTCACTATTCTCCACCAAATGAAAGGCCTCATTCGGGCTGCAGTTTGGTATGCATCTCAACAGCATGTAAGGCACCCAGTCAATGGAAGAGTCTTCATCAGACTGTCTCTTGTTTTTTATGTGTGCGAGCATGCTTTTTCTGTGCAGCCACTGTAAGCAAGGAGGGCTGTCAAAGGCCATTTCACAAATTCTGGAGTCTTACGATGTTTCAAATAACTTGGGGAGGGGGGCACCACACCTTCAGCTAAATTAAAATTGCTTTGATGAATTAAGCAGTGTAGACGTCGAGACGGGCGGTTTAGCAGAACAAATTATTTTTAAACACATTTTTATTATCTGCTCCCATGCACCAATATATAACAGGATTCCCACATTTTTTGGGATCATTGCTGAGAATACGCTGCCAACAGCATTTGCAGGGAGCTTTCTTCCTGGCAGCACATTGTAGGATTTTAATTTATCTAGCTCATTTTTTGGAGAAAGAAAGAAAAGCCTTTGCTTACTGCCAACATTTCCTTTTATTTTGCTTGAACCTGTCGCAAAAGTAGTGCTGGATAAGAGTATCACTACAGCGAAAACCACTGCCATAAAAATTTTTTCAATTCCCTGTCAACTGTACATTAATGTATCGAAAAAGGTCTATTCACCTCAATTTTTCTGTTTGCATTTAAAACTCGGTATAGCCAAGAATCACCCATTTATTACGTTATATTGAAACTTGATTCATTTGTAACATGACCTTTTGTGTAAGGCGTAATTGCTGAAGGACTAATTTCAACATGAAAAGAGCCCTAACAATGTTTCACTGATGAAAAGAATTAGTTTCAATGACCTGAAATGCAGCAGCCATGATTCTCCACAGTACTTGTAAGTCACATATAAAGCTGAAAGAAGTGCAAATCCAACGCATCATGGTCATATAGGTCAAGTTAAGCTTTTGGTCTACTGCTTCTTATTAAAACTTTAATAAGTGTTGCCCTGAAAGGTGTCATGTTCAATGAGGCAATATATTGCGCTACACTGAATCCAATAAGATGCAATACTGAAAGTTATTGCACAACAACAAGGCTGTCTGCAGTATTCTGAAAGCTAGGCAACAACCTGGATTATGGCAGTTCCATTTTTGGTGGCCATGTTTTCAGTAACATCGTGCAGCGAATCAACAATAAAGCAAGAGGTCACCTGCTGTGGCATCATGAATTTCAGTTGCCTTTACACATTGGCTAAGACAAGATCTTGTGATTTTATTACAGAATATATTCATAGAGCAGCTAGTGCAGTGTGGTTGGCTCATTCCAAAAGGAGTGATGCTACCAAGGTCATCTGACCTGCAGCACTTTTTGTAGCAACAAAGTTTTCCATTTTGGAGTAATTTGGAGCAGCTAACTTCAAATTCTGTGGAGAAGCAAGTTGCATTTCCTTTCAAGGACATATATAATTATTCTCTTGTAAAGAGCTAGAAGCATTTCGATTTGTTGCAAACCTCATGGAGCCAATCATCTTAGGAACACTCCCTATTTCAGTTGATGATGCAAAATTATGATTATTTTCATAGCAAATAAACAGTATACTGGTTGAATAAAATTGTACTTCATGAAATAACAATATGAATACACCTAAATGGTTATCAGCAGACATGGTAAATGCTGTGACTTACAATGATAGAGATTCACACACTCCCAACTGGATTTCACGAGGATGACTTCAAGGATAAATAAAGGTGCTTTTTGTTCACAAATTATTAGACTGCTGGGCGTAACATAACGTCATTTATCTAGTCTCATAAAGCCAGGGTCCTCCGGCACTCATCTCTTTGTGCTGAAACTACACGATTTAACAAACTTCATTTCCCTTTTGCTGTGATGTCTTATGTGGTGGCTAGGGCGTGTCTGCAGTCAAAGATTTTTGGTGCATTCACTCTTTAAGCGTACTAACGGTTCAGACATAGTTGCAACGAATCTCTGACCGAGTCTCATAGAGACTAATGCATTCGCAGACCACTTAAGCCGTAGTATTCGGCTTTAGTGCATACTATGTACCTCGATAAAATTTTGCATGACAAAATTGTACAGCGCCGCTGAACTTGCAGACGCCACAGTGTACTGTGAACGGTTTTCAGTCATGCCGATAAGTGCGGATATTAGCCGTTAAGTTATTTTTACTTACGGGCACTCGCGGCGATGACATTGCGAGCAATCATCGGGTGGAAAACGAAGGCGAGGTGGCAAACACCGACAAACGTGCCAGTATGACTTATTGCTGACGAAAAGCTTTATCACAGTAAGCATCCCCGGTTATCTGCTCAGGCACGCGTGTGGTGTAGGGTCACTTACGCCTACTGCACGCTTTTAGTAGGCGACTACCTGACCATGCTGGGCCGCCAATCACTGCCGCTTCATTTTGCAGTTCAAGTGCGAACCGCTTTATAGAAACGCAAGCAGCATGCTTTCACGGAGTTTAGCGTTGCCGGTCACGGGCACCGAGAAACCTTGCTGCATTATGCGAACATGCGCGCCATACAGCAAGCATAGCGCTGTTGTTACCATGCTGGACGCTTTTATTTAGCGACAGCCCAAACACGCCTCCGTCCGCTGCCAGGACTGCTAGAGCATTGCAGCGGAGCGCATTGCTTACGAAAGCTCTTTGTCACCACATTAACCCAGCAGGCTACTTACCCAATCTGTGCATGGCCTGAAGCAGAGAGGGTTTACGTTACAGCAAGCGGATCGGCAGTCACAGTGTGTGCAGAGTGAGCAAATCGCTGCACACAACCAGCCATGCAGTAAATGATTTGGCTCTCTGCGACCGTACCCCATTTTAAAAAGAAAACTGTATCACAAACGCCAATTGTGTCTGTTCTGTCGCTGTACCACGCTACGTATCTCGGATCCCGCTGTAGTTTCGAAATGCTCATCAGCGTTCCCACCGCGTGCTATTGGCAGTTGTGTGAGAGACGAAACTTTTCTGTACTTTGACAAAAAGAAAGAAATGGCTTTGCAGTGGGCATTTTAAGGCAATATTTTCTATGGCACTCAGTTTCTTTCTTTGTTGGTGGCGATGGCGCATGTTAGGGACATGCAAATTTGTATCTGGTGGTTAATGCGTAGTACGTTTAGTGTGTAGTTATGCCACAGTCCCCGGCAGGTACGCATTAACAGGGTTTCACTGTATACTCCAAAAACCTCTTATGGTATCCTCTAGAAAGCAACACACAAAAAAATTTCCGCATATCCACAAAGTGAATAATGATGAAGGAGCTTGCTGCAGAAGTTGAATTCGGTAAACCATGAATCCTCTGTACATAGTGCTCAATCATCATCATCATCATATAAAAATGTGACATGAGAGTTGTTGTGGTGTGATTGTATATATATGTTATATACACAGTGTTTATTATTTAAGTATCAATTTACTATATAACAGATATTTACCTACTAAAGCAGTATATACATTTTTTTAAAGAGATTACTTACGGACCACTTAAGCTTGCAGGAACATTTTTCTTTCAGTATGATGGTTTTGTGACCTGTAAATTACAAAGCCAGAGAATCTTAAATGATAGGATGTTGTGAAAAGCTTGAAAAGGGTCCTGACCACGAGCCCGCGCTGCAGCCGCATTGCGAGCCCTTCCCGCCGCTACTTTGGCTTTTGTAGTGTTCATTATAGGTTGCGGTATCAAAGCGCACGGAGTGGTGTCTGGTGAAAAAAAAAAAAAAATAGGAAGCGCGCCAAGAGCGAGCGCTATATGTAGGCGCAGTCACCTAGTGGTCTCCTACCAAACTAGAGCATGCGCCGAGAGTGGAGCGAACGTCGTCTGAGCGGCGGCGCGCCATCTAGTGAGAGCTCTTGAAACGAAGAGCACAGCTGCGCCTTTAGCGAGAGTAATGAGCACTAGCGTACACACCGGCGCAACGACGAGAGACAACCCCCCAGAAAAACAAGTGAGCTCCTAAAGAAACCTCACATGGTACCTTATCCATACGTTTAAGACTTGAAGGCGAGAGCCATTTTGTTTTTATGCGATGGCAATCATATGGACATTCTTGACTGGTTTTTGTCATCCCCAGGGGTGCAGGCAGAAAGATATATAAATAAATTTTTTAGAGGGGGCACCTTGATCTGAAGAGGGGCTGGGCAGGCAAAAGGTCATTTTGCATGCCCAGCCCCTCTTCAAATTTTCTCGCCATGACATACATTTTGCATAATGTATGTCATGGCGAGAAAATTTCTGGGGACACACGCACACATTCCCGATGTGCTCTCTTCCCCACCATGGTCATGAATTTTTCTCGGGAGTGCTTGTGAAGGCAGGAATTGAGAGAGAAGGGCGTGGCAAACAAACGCACTGTATCACCCAGCCAAAAAAAGCAAAATTAAAAAAAAACGAAAGCAAGACCAAAAACTCACAGACGCACACAAAATTACCACATAGCCACATAAAAACAAATGAAAATGAACAGTAATGTACATATTTGAAATTTAAGCCCTTATTCTGGTGCGCTTTAAATATTTATAGCAAATTTATTAGGATTTCATAATTGTGGTTCATAGCTCTTGCGCTAGGGGCGCAACGGGCTGGTTTTGGTTACATTTGAACGAGATTTAAAAGTATAAATTGTACTCGGATCGTGAAAAGTACGTTGTCACCTGTCACCATACTTCACGCTCTATTCCTTTCTATCGGAATCTAATCACCAGTTCAGACCAGTTGTGGGTCCCTTTAAATATTTTTCTACACTCTTTTACGGCTTTAAGGAAAAGGGCAGAGAACCTGTTGAATACCTCGTCTATATTGCATAACGACGTAACACTTGACCAGACAGTTTTACTTCTAGCAGTAAAGAACAGTTCTTGG